CTATTCCCAAGCACGTCAGCACTTTCAACAAGCACCACTCAAATACATCAGAATTCATGGCAAGCAACCCTCCTTCTTATACACTAGTAAACTTTGCAAGCTCCACAGATGCACTGGTATTGTCCACAAGCGCTCCTCTAATACACCAGCCCTCCCAGCAAGTGTACAATTTGGCAAGTGTGTCAAACCCCCTATAAAAAGTGTTAAGAGAATATAAGTATATGCATTGCATGCAATGCACAGTGGACAGATGTAATAAATATTATGATAGTTGTATTTTTCTAATTATGTAAATTGTCATAAACACATTTCTAACTGATATTTTGACACAATTTAACCTCGAAACACGTACCGTTCCTAATATGTTGCATTTTACTGGATGCAGTGTATTCTTATATTGCAGTTTAGAAAAATGAATGGAAAAAAGTTGATTGTGCACTGTGATATGTTGCCATGATGCTACTTCTCTGCCTTTCCCAGGTTCAGCGACGAAAGTGGAAGCTGAAACTCCTAGAGCAGCTGCAGGCTCAAGTTAACGCGACACCGATCACTCTCCCAACTAAGTGAGTCTTCCTGACTTTGTATTAGGGATGTACCGATACCATTTTTTCATGTTCTTCAGACTTCCAAGTAGCAGCATTGTTAAGAAGCCTAGATAGCAGCATGACTGTGATAATTACTAAGGGTTGATGCTCTCTAGACTTCCATGAAGAAGCACAACTTTTTCAGATCCCCCAGCAGCAGCACATATGCGGTAATTTATAGCAGTTCTCCAGACTTCCAGATAGCAGGACCCATGTAATCATTAGTAACTAGTGATGTAGTCCAAACCCCCAGGTAACAACAGAGTTAAGATCATTTGTAACAGGTGATATTCTGTATACTAAAAGCTAATAATATAGGCACAGCTGAGATTATTAACTGGTGATTTCCTGCAGATTTCCTGCAGATTTCCTGCAGAAACACAATGAGAAGGGCAATAGCTTCAGATTAGTGGCCCTGATTCTGTTATTGGCTTACGTCTGTTTCTTCAGCCCCACAGAACTTGAAAAATTGGAGTATCGTCCTGTGAAGGTGAGAGGTCACTTTGATCACTCCAAGGAGCTCTACCTACAACCTCGCACACTGATGGACCCAGAAAAGGAGGCCCAAGAGGCTGGCCAGATCACCTCAAACACAAATAGTGGGGCCCATGTGGTCACTCCATTTTACTGTACTGACCTGGGGTACGTCAAAATGTATAATTCTACCAAAGGGGAATTGGCATGTCAGGGGAAGATGTTAGATGAAGATCATTAATGTCATGCTAAGAAGTATAATACTGCGAAATAGAATATATGAGGTAGGGGGTTTTGTAATGGAAATGTTGGTGTTACTAGGGGTGGATGATGTAGTAATGGGAATCTGGTTATGAATGGGTAGGTAAAGTAATAGCAATGTGGTTATATATGTGGTGGGGGCTTAGTACTGGGCATTTGGTTGTATATAGGAATGGGGCATTTAAACTTAGAAATTGTTTTATTTGTGGGGTGGGGGGTATACCAATAGAGATGTGTTTATATATTGGTTGGGATGTATTATTATTGATGTGGTTATACAGGGGTTGGAGGTATAGTACTGGGAATTTGGTTATGGATGTGGTTATATATGAGGTTTAGAATATAGTAATAGGAATTTGGATATCGTGTGGACTCTGTATAATATTGAGAATTTGGTTGTATATGGGATGAGGGGTGTGATTGTGATAGTTTGATTATATATGTGTTAAAGGTAAGGTAATGGGTATTTCTATATGGATATGGGATGGGTTGTTTAGTTATGGAAATTTAGTTATGTATGGGAAGGAGGTATAGTAATTTGGGATGCACTGAAGTTTTGGCTACCGAACTTATCGGCTGAAAATTGCACTTTTGGCAAACTGCCGAAAGTATTATCTTTCGGCCAAAATTGCTGTGCATGCCTGGTTTCTCTCCTCCCCGCTGGGTGCTGCTCTATGTCCCCTCTGACACAGCATAGCGTCCATCAGGGAGGAGAGAAACTGTGTGGAGGCCGAGCTGTGCGGGGGAGGAGGGCGCTGTGAGTGGCCGGCGTGTCACAAGAGGCTGAGCTGTCCTCCCACTCGGCCTCCTGTGACAAATCAGGTTGGAGTGGGGGGCAATGGCCAGCTGTCACAGGAAGCCGAGCCGGCGGTACGGGTGAGGAGCTCTCCTCCCACACCGCCTACTCAGTCTTCTGTGACAGCGTGGATGGAGAGCGGGTACAAGCAGTCAGTGATCCCTGACTGCTTGTAAACAATTAAAGACGGAGAATGTTTACTGTGTCCCCAATTATGAATGAATTGGGAATTTGGTTATATATGTGTTTGGGTATACTACTGAAAATGTGGTTATATATAGAGTGGTGTTTTGTAGCATAGGATTTGCTATTATATATTGAGTGGAAGGCATAGTGATCGGGATTTGGTTGTATATGAGGTGGAGGATCTAGTAATGGGAATCTGGTGTATGGTATTGAAGTCATAATTATGAGTTTTGGTTATATATGGGTTGAGGGATTATAGTACTGGAAATTTGGTTGTATATGGGGTGGGGATGTAGTAATGGAAATTTGGCTAAATATGGAGTGGGGGGTATAGTAATGGCTATTTGACTATACTTGAGATTGAGGTACAGTACTGGAGTTTTGGTTGTAATATTTGAACCCTTATAGTTCCAGAGAGACCCAAATTTTTAATACATCTCCCATACCCCAGCATTTAGGCCAGCAAAGCGATTACTGGTAGATCGCGATGTCCTGTCTTCTCCTCTGGATCCCCACTGCACCGGGGATCCAAGGAGAAGTGAAGTAAGCACTGCAGGCGGCGGGGGGGGCAGAGGACGGAGAGGCTATCACAGCTGCATGGCCGAGCAGTGAGTAGAGAGAGTAGCTAGCTACAGCTCTGCTCTACAGCTATGCTCCCGCGGTGCTTGTGTGGCTGCCGGCTGAATGTGTTAGACGCCGCATGCGGAAAAGGCTGGGACGCCTCTCCCCATGTGCAACGTCGGCCACAGGAGCACCATGGGAGGACAGGCCCCCCGCCCACAGTGCGATCGCCCGCACCCGGAAACGCAAGCACATTAGTGCCTGCATTCCGGTCCAGTGCGATCTGCAAAAATAGTGTTTATCCAAGATCCCAGATCTATAAAGTTTAAAAACTTCCAACACATACCTTGCAGCACACAGTTATAATGATACATGCATAAGATTGGTTGCGAGGAGAAAGAGTGTAAATATGTCCTAAATCAGCGGCGCTCACAATTTTTCGTCTGGAGATCTACTTTTCAAATGACGAGCTCAATGAGATCTACCAACGAAAAAAAAAACCTGCATTCAGGGGGGAAAGGGGGCACGGCGGTGCATTGAAGTCAATGGCATTGCAGCCACGCCCCTCACCTGCAGTGCGATCGCCCGGAACGCAGGTACTTTAGTGCCTGCGTTCTGGTCCAGTGCGATCTGCAAAAATGCTGCAAATAACATTGTATCAAATGACAAGACAAAGAACTCTCTGAATGTAGATAATCTATCTTTGAACAGGTTTTGGCAAATAGTTTAATTCGAGAGCATACTTATTAACTCCAGTCTTGACCAACCTCCCATACCCCAGTCTACTCTCCACTTTATTTTTTAAACATTTTCTTTTTACATTTTTTTTTTTTTTGCCTGATGCACTGCACTCTTCTCTGTATCATTCTCCCCTGAGCTCAGGGTGGTTTGCCGACACAACCCCAAGGAGTGTGTGCTTGACACCCAAGGCTCTCAGCAGGAAATGGGTTGAGTGATGCCCAGCTTCATTCAACCCCTGAAGAGGACTGACACTTGATCATGGAGGAAGACCCCTGAGGCAATACTGGGGCATGGAGTATGTGAGTACTGCTTGATAGTTTTTATTTTATTTTTTAGTACGGGAAGGGGGGAGGTGTGCACCAAAATATTATAAAACATAATATGTAATTAGATTAGGGGTGCTACAAAGCTACTTGCATTATATGATTACAACTACATGAATGATTTAACAATTAACCTTTGATACAGTTAGTTGAGTTAGGATGCTAGAGTGTTTAAATAAATCTTTCCTTCTCTTCCTTCAGAGTTACAATTCTGGTCAACCGGGGTTTTGTCTCTAAAAAGAAGATTAATCCTGAGACACGGATAAAGGGGCAGGTGAGGAGTACAATATACAATGCAGGAGGAAGGGGCAAGTGAGGAGTACAGTATACAATGCAAGAGGAAGGGACGTGTAAAGAGTATAGTATACAACGCAGGAGGAAGGGACAAGTGAGGTGTATAGTATACAATGCAGGAGAGAGGAATAGGTGAAGAGTTAGTATTTAATACAGGAGAAGGGAACAGGTGAAGAGTTATAGTACATAATGCAAGAGGAAGCAACAGTTGAAGAGTATTGTATATAATGCAGAAGGAAGAATATACACTGATCAGCCCTAAGATTATGACCACTGAGAGGGCCAAATTGTGATGACTAGAATGACTGGGTCAAAGCAACTTCAAAACTGCAGCTCATGTGTGATGTCCCTGGTCTGTAGGGGTAAGGACCTGCCAAAAGTAGTCCAAGGAAGAAAAACCAGTGAACTGAGGGTCATGGGTGGCCAAAGCTCATTGATGCACGTGGGAAGTGAAGGTTGGCCCATGTAGTCCAATCCAATAGAAGAGCGGCTGTAGCTCAAATTGCTGAAAAGGGTAATGGTGGTTCCGATAGAAAGGTGTCTGAACACACATTACATTGCAGTTTGATGCAAAGGGGGCTGTGCACCTGCAAAATGGGCAAGAGTAAGGATTTGAGTGACTTGGGTGTGAGGTGTTGACTTGTCCTTCAAATTCTCCAGATCTCAATCCAATTGAGCACCTGTGGGATGTGCTGGAAAAACAAATCTGATCCACGTCTTAAAGGATCTGCTACTGACAGCTTGGTACCAGATAACACTGCATACCTACGGAGGTCTAGTGGAGTCCATGCCTCAATGGGTCAGGGCTGTTTTGGTAGCACATGGGGGGACCTACTCAATATTAGGTGAGTGGTCATAATGTTATGGCTGATCTGTGTAGTATAAAGTGCAGGAGGAAGGGACAGGTTAGGTGTACAGTTTACAATGCAAAGGGAAGGGACAGGTGAAGCGCTAGTATACAATACAGCAGGACGGAACAGGTGAGGAGTATAGTATACAATGCAGGGACAGCTAAAGGGTATACTATGCAATGTGCAGGGGAAGGGATGGGTAAGTGTACAGTATACAATTCAGGAGGAAGGGACAGGTGAAGAGTATAGTATACAATGCAGGGACAGCTAAAGGGTATACTATGCAATGTGCAGGGGAAGGGATGGGTAAGTGTACAGTATACAATTCAGGAGGAAGGGACAGGTGAAGAGTATAGTATACAATGCAGGAGGAAGGGACAGGTGAAGAGTATAGTATACAATGTAGGAGGAAGGGACAGGTGAAGAGTATAGTATACAATGTAGGAGGAAGGGACAGGTGAAGAGTATAGTACACAATGCAGGAAGAAGGGACAGGTGAAGAGTATAGCACACAGTGCAGGTTTGGTGTACAGTATACAATGCAGGAGGAAGGGACAGGTGAAGAGTATAATACGCCATACAGGAAGATGGGACTGGGAAGGTGTACAGTTCTGAAAGATTAGACAGGTAAATGTGTTCAGCATGCACTTCAGGATAATGGGACAGGTGAGGAATTCAGTATCTATTGAAGGAAGAAGGGACAGGTGTCTTGTGCAATATGCAATGCAGGAGGAAGGGACAGGTGTCATGCGCAGTATACAATGCAGGAGGAAGGGACAGGTGTTGTGTACGGTATACAATGCAGGAGGAAGGGACAGGTGTCGTGTACGGTATACAATGCACATATACGGTGTCATGTGCAGTATACAATGCAGGAGGAAGGGACAGGTGTCGTGTACAATATACAATGCAGGAGGAAGGGACAGGCGTTGTGTATGGTATACAATGCAAGAGAAAGGTACAGGTGTCATGCGCAGTATACAATGCAGGAGGAAGGGACAGGTGTTGTGTACAATATACAATGGAGGAGGAAGGGACAGGCGTTATGTGTATGGTATACAATGCAGGAGGAAGGGAGAGGTGTCATGCGCAGTATACAATGCAGGAGGAAGGGACAGGTGTTGTGTACAATATACAATGCAGGAGGAAGGGACAGGTGTTGTGTATGATATACAATGCAGGAGAAAGGTACAGGTGTCATGCGCAGTATACAATGCAGGAGGAAGGGACAAGTGTTGTGTACAATATACAATGCACGAGGAAGGGACAGGCGTTGTGTATGGTATACAATGCAGGAGGAAGGGACAGGTGTCATGCGCAGTATACAATGCAGGAGGAAGGGACAGGTGTTGTGTATGGTATACAATGCAGGAGGAAGGGACAGGTGACGTGTATATTGATATACACAAGGGGAAGCAGGGTTCTAATCACAGTAATATTAATGGTATATAGATCCCAATGGTGGGTCTCCTATAATATATCACATTAATGACCACATGTCCCCTTTAAGGGAGATGCCACCCTCATATCAACAATGCAACTATAATTTTATAAAAATTCATATAATTTCTTTTCCTCTAGGTCGAAGGGGAGGTGGATTTGGTCGGTATTGTGAGACACTCAGAGAACCGCCAGCCATTTGTTCCAGAAAATGATCCTGAGAGGAACAGATGGTATTACCGGAATTTGGAAGCCATGTCAAAGCTGACTGGGGCAGAGCCGATACTTATTGATGCCAGTTTTGGTAAGCTGGACAAGATTTGATATATGGAGATTATTCTGTGTTGTGTCATCGCATGGCATAAGCCCCCCCACCCCATGCTGGAAGCTTGGATATGATAAACCGATCACACTTTTATTCTGCTTGGAAACTATAGCAGATTTATGTGAATTGGAATAAATTCCATGCTAAGCACAGTGGCTAATCCATCCAAACTATAAACCAATGTGTTACTATGAGAAATGAAAGCACGGAGCACAGTTTGTGTCTTTTATTCTCCAGCACGTTGTATTTCATTTTGATAAGAAGACTTATGGAAACATTAGAACTAGGGATACACTGAAGTGTTGGGCGCCAAAACATTTCACCCAAAAATGGTTCTATGGGCAAAATGCCAATAGTACAAAAACGTAAAAAAATGTTCAGTGTATCCCTAGCTTCTCTCCTTCCCACTGGGCGCCTGTCTGTGTCCCCTCCAATTCCCACTGCTCTCCCTGCCTGTGTCGACGGGGATCGGAGGGAACACAGACCGGTGCCCAGCGGGGAGGAGAGAGTGGTCAGCTGTCACAGGAGACCAACCTCTCCTTCCACACCGCCCTGCTCGGCCTGCTGTGACAGGCGAATCAGAATGGAGAGCAAAGTGCAAATACTCAGCAATCGGTACTGATCGCTAAGTGTTTGTAAATAACTGAGAACATAGAAGGCTGAAATCTGGGGATTGGTGCTGGTCTGTTGGGCTGCAAATTGATTATAATCGATAATGTTTAACTTAGTATTAGCAACTATGAGTGTAAAAATGTTTTACGTACCTAACACTACGGCGCGCTATTGTTCACTGGCACCCACTGGCACCCACTGGCTTACACACTGGCACTGGTGTGTAAAAGGTTGCTGACCCTTTGTCTAACGCGTTTCACTATTATGGCTTACTCATAGAGATCAGATTTCTTAGTAATTACAACAACAACAAAATGTCTTCTTCAGTAACAATATTCTATTTGTGTAATATGCAATGAACTAGTATTTCTGTTCCATCACAGACAGCACAGTTCCCGGTGGACCCATCGGAGGACAGACCAGGGTGACGCTAAGGAATGAGCACATGCAATACATTATTACGTGGTAATTATATCTCCCTTTTTATTATGAGAGCAGAAAATGAATGCTGAATCTGGGAGTCAGTCAGCCAGTGTAGTATGCTTTCATTGCCAGCAATATTAGAAAACGTCGGTGCCAGATGTAAATCTGTAATGTATTTTCTTCCAGAACTAATAACGCAGCAATTTCTTAAAGACTACTGTGCATTTTGGGCAAGTGCACTTGAGTTGAGCTTTTGTCCCCCGCCCCATCTCCCCCTGGGATTTTTTTTAACCACCTCCCGTCCGCCGAACGTACAGAAGCGCCCGCATCCAGAAGACGGTAGTCTTCCGGATGCGGGTGGGCGTCTTTAGACATTCTTCGTGCTCGCGCGCGTTCCCTGGCGCGCACGAGCGGGAAACCACCAGAATTTTAGCCAGCGATGGCCGTTTACATACAAGTAAGCTGGCGTCTGTAAAGACGCCCGATCGCTTGTATGCTGCATGTCTCTGTGATCTCTGCTTCATCAGCTTCTCTGGGGGTCCCTAGGTGACAATAGGGGTCTTAGAGACCCCTGATGTCTCCATAAAGGGGACCTGTCACTGTAATTTGATAACAATAAAGTTAAGTGTAAAAAAGAATTGGTCACAAAATAAATAAAATTTACACACACCAATAGAAAAAAAAACCCCACAAATTGTTTTTAAAGTCCCCCACTCCCACATAGATGCGCAAAAATGCGTTAGAAGCGCCTACACGCAAAAACGATGACTGCGCCATTACGCAGCACTTGTTACATATTACCGCGAACGTCGCAGTGAGAGCAATAATTGTGGGGCCATCAATCACTCATAACTCTAAACTGATGAGCGGTAAAATCTTTTAAAGTGTCGCCTATGGCCAATTTTGGGTATGGTAGTTTTCCCCAGTCATCTTCCAGGACAGCCATCGAGATATAGGCTCCGCCTGCCTGCAACAGGAAACACATCAACCACATTAAATAAATAGACTCCTCCTTCCATCCCAAGTCAGTTTTTTTGTGTTTCTGCAGGCAGGCGGAGCCTATATCTCGATGGCTGTCCTGGAAGATTCCTGGAAACAGAGTTATCAGGTAATCAACTCATGTTTTTTGCCATTTCGCAGGCGCAATTTTTAGGCTTTACATGTTTGGTGTCTATTTACTCGATGTGCCCCCGTCTTTTATATTTTACCCAAAAAATTTGCTAGGGTATAAAATTCATTTCAGTACAGCGTTGCATGACGGAATAAATGTCAGTCAAAGTACCGCAGCGCTGAATACTGAAAAATGTCCTGGACAGGAAGGGGGTTTAACACCCTGGTCAGCACGTGGTTAAAACCTGTCCATTATATTAGAATAGATGGCTTTCTGTACTACATTGGTGCTGGATTGAGTTGGCAGGCAGACAGGAAGAGCTGGAACTGGGAAATAGATTTTTATCAGTAGCTTGATATTAGTAGAGGATGTTGTTGCTTAGTTTGAGCCCAGCCCAGCATTAGTAAGCTCATTAATTGTGAAATACTCCTTTTCTTTTACAGGTACGGACTCTGTGCTGCCACTACATACATGTGGTTCAAGAAATTCATCCAGAAAGTTCCACGCTAGCTGATGATAATGCTAAGAACTAATCTAGAATACAAGGCTGTATGTGGCACTGAACTGACATAGATAATTGATATGTGGCTTGCAAACAGACAAGGACTGATTACTGGAAGGTCTCAGAGAATGACCATAGTGTCTTATTTCTGCTGTGAGTAAAGCAATATGTACGTTCTGGATAATGTACTCTATTATTATTATTAACCTTGTGTTAATGAAGTCCTCTCTGCATTGAGGAGATTTTGGATTTAGGAAACCATAAACGGGTGTATGTATAAACATTAAGGTGCATTAATAACCTTTTTCTTTGCAATGTGTGAAATAAGTGTGCACAATTCCTATTAAAGTATTTTCATTGTTTCTCATGAAAAGGTGTAAAGTCCACATGGTAGAGACAGGGAATGTGTGGGGGTAGTGTGCACATATGGCAGAGAGGTGATGGCAGAGAGTGGCATAGTGTACATATGGCAGAGGGGCGATGGGCGCAGAGCCTGGCAATCTGTGCATGTGGCAGTGGGAAAGAGGTAATGGCGACAGAGGCCGACAATGGTTTTGCGCGCATAGGTGAGTGACTGTTAGGCCTCATTCACACACAACGCAAGCAAAATTGTATATTGCATATATACGAGCGTATATGCGCATATACACGAGCGTATATGCGCATATACACGAGCGTATATGCGTGCACTATTTGCATTCCCAGAATGCATCATTCCTAATAGAAATTTTACTGAACTGTACGTGCATATGTACGCGTAAACATGCGCGTGATATACGCTGCCTGGACGCATCTTGGTTCCACTCTGTTTTTGTGCATGTTTACGCTACGCAAATATACGGCTCCATACGCGGCTATGTGTATGGAGCCATTTATTTGCATATGGTACAATACGCGCATATATGCGCGGCAGTTTGAATGAGGCCTTAGTGTGTGCATTGGGGTGACTTCAAATGTTTCAGTCTTTTGCTTTTCTGTTTGATACATTCTAATAGATAAAGTGTAACGAGACCTGTAACATTACCACAGCAGGTTTTAAATCAGTCATTCTAGTGTACCGTATATACTCGAGTATAAGCCGTCCCGAATATAAGCCGAGGTACCTAATTTTACCACAAAAAACTGGGGAAAAAGTATTGACCCGAATATAAGCCGAGGGTGGGAAATGAGGCAGCTACTGGTAAATGTACAAAATGAAGATAGATACCAATAAAATTACATGAATATTTATTTAGCCACCTTACGTCCATGGCCGTTTGTGAGCGGCCAGATGGACGTCTGCTCAGAGCGGGAGGGCGTCTTAAGACGCCCTGCCCCTCCCCCCTCTCGTGTGCGCGCTGAGCGCCGCACACGCGCGGGAC